GAGAGAGAGAGAGAGAGAGAGAGAGAGAGATATTCAGTTAAAAGGAGACTAAGTGAGAAAAGGGAAGTTACTTTTATACAATTAATTAATAAATATTTTCCAAGTATGTTTATACTATGTGATATGATATTTGTACATGATCTGATGTATATAGAACTTTTGGGAGTCAGAATATCACTGAAGTTACATTTAAGTATGTAATCTTTTTGGAAAGAGGACTATGGTTGCATGCAATCATCAGATTAGTTTCCATTGAATTGGTCTCCTTATTGAGGTGAAGACTTATGCAAATGATCAAGATCATTCATTTACGGAAAGATGCATTCATATTATAGTTTGCACCACTGAGACCAGCTGGCCTTGCATTTTCTGGCACAACCATTGATGTTGATCTTCATTAAAATATGAGGTGGGTGATCCCACTCTGTAGTTGGTCCCATCTTTCCCCATGAATGTTCTCACTTGCTGCAGACAAGAATGTCTCCATTCAGCAGTTTCACGAGGTGCTTGGGGAGAGGGGGGGGGGGGGGGGCAACTAATATGGGTACCAAACTTTATGTTTGGAACACTGAAAATTACAGACTTGGTGGGCCTCTTGAGCCTCCTCCTCAACCAATTCTCTCTACAAGTGGGTAGAGATAAGCCAATTTGGAACCCAATGCTTTGGGGTTTTTTTTAAGTGCTCTCCATGCATAGAGCCCTGATTGCTATGTACCCCAGACTTGTCATTGGGAGTAAGGTCTATATCATAGTCAGCAAGTCTCTGTTTAAAGTATGATTTTTGAAAAAATCTCTTAGTTTTGGAGATCCATTAAGAACTCTGAGTTTTTCAAGAGATCTTAAAAAAATTGAGCTTTTTTAACGGAACCGATAAACATATGTGTTTTATCTTTTTTCAAGAAAACTTGTTCCCTGTAACTTTTTTCTTCATTAGCTTAATATTATTGTATTTTGGTTTAAAGATAAGCACATTACCTGTGGGAATAAATTAAGAATCTTGACTTAACAAAAAATTCAATAAAAAATTTCACTAATAAGTTCCCTTAAAAAAAGTGTACGAAAAAATATAAGCAATACATTCCCCCAAAATTAAGAAATCAAAACAATCATATACCTCAAAATAATAGGTAGAGTTAGAAGAGAAGTAACCCAATGAAAACTTTTTTTTTTCTTGAAACATATATTTATAAAATAAAACACATATTTATATCGGTTCCATTAATAAAATAAAATATGAAATTAATCAAACTTTTCTATGCGTAAAACCGATTTAGTAACCCAATCAAATCCAAAATATTTACGATTCAATAAATACCTTATTTGGCGATCTGTATTTTTGACTCAAGTGTTTCCTCCGACCACTTGAAATAAAACCTATTTATTAATGATATTTTTGGTTTGTCGATATATTATTATTCCTTGACTTGCTAACTATGGTTTGGATTATGCCTGTTTCCCCCAAGATTCAGGCTTTCAACTAGCTTGAATCTCTTGAAATGCCCTTACAATTGATCAAATTCAAAGGAGAGATATTCCTATACCTAACTGGCGTGTTATGTGTAATGACTAAGGAAAATAGACCGCGTATTATGCAGTGATAGGCCCCCTGGCTGCCTTTCTTTGCAGAATTTGCCATTGTCCCAATCACCACGACCATGTGAATACTACCTTATTACTCATCTATCACATTGTGAAATAATAATTACTAATTCCATATTTTGTGGCTACTATTGAGAAATTTATTGCCTCACTTTGTACCATGAACTTTGCCGCACTCCTATGCATAAACTCCAGGTCAGTTAATTTCAGATCCATCCGTATATACTTCACCCAAGTCAATTTTTACATTCTATGACCTAGGATTCATGCACCTATAGAAAGACCCATGACCTATATCTGGGATCTATTGATTTCTGGGCTAAATTTGCTCCATAAGGATTAAGGAATCTGTCTGCCCCTGGTGAACCTCATGTGACTAGAAGATGACTGTTGGAATAATGGCCTTATCCCTTCTAGAAAGTTTGTTGTTGATAATTTCATAGATATCACCTATAAGGCTTATAGTTTCAAAAACCCAAATATCCTGCAGCTCGTCTTTTTTGGGTTAACAATATCAAACCAGCATTTAATCACCTTATGGTGAGGTTTGTGTATGAAGAGGTTGCACTTAACATCAATTAATGACGAGCATGTATACTGCAAATTGGATTTACAAAAGAGAGAAAGAACAACCATGAAGATGTGATTTACGGTGCAGTTTATAAAAAGGATAACGATTCTGTAAGCTGAAGGCTGAGAGAGCAGTATCTGCCCAATGTCCCTGATTGAACTACTAAGGTCAATGTGGACATCCAGTATTCACTGACAAAGGTGGGGCTATTTTGTTCCATTATTATTAATCTTATTCTTATTGTTTTTTTGGCGTGCCTAGGCCAGGTGCATATCCCGCCAAAAGTTTGAGGTCCAATAGATTTATAAAAAAATTTAAAAACAAATAGTGAACCACCACACTGGCATTAGATCACCCATATTAAATTTGGGCTGTTGGCATATACTGTTCCATCTGCCCACTTGCTAATATTATCTTTATAAGTATAGCAGGGACACATAAACCTGAAGACGGCAATTTGAAACAAACTTCACCTTCTTATTAACTTGATTGGCAAAACAACACACGATTGATTACATTGAGCAACAGTTTTCTGCATTTTAATGAGCTAATATGTAGCTTATGGCAGCGTGCTGCCAACTTGCCATCAGATATATGAGGTGGGTCACAAGGACTCCTGCAAATGAAGCTAACCTACCCCAAAGATGTGCAATATATCTTTTACTTTATTTATGGGATGTTATTATACCATGCAACATTAGATATGTTAGTGATTTGTTTTAGTTCTCTTGATAAATTTTTTCATGGCCACACTGACCTTTTGCAGCTGGCTCCTTTTTTCTTCTTCTCTTCCAGATGCTAGTACATTTGGTGGTTTGGACTTCTTCAGGCTGAAACAAATCTTGAATTAGTCAATTTCTAGATGTATTTCCAAATTCAATCAAATTCTAGATGTATTTCCATTGTTTACATTTTGTTAAACCATGCCTGTATATTTATTTTAAGTAAAATTCGCTTGCAAATTGTAGGCTTTTGAAGAAGCTGAGCTTCGCAAGCTGAAGGAGGAAAAGCCTGGCCTCACACATACCCAGTATAAAGACATGATATGGAAGTTATGGAAGAAATCTCCTGATAATCCTCTTAATCAGGTGTGTTTCAAAAGTCTGAAGCAAGAAATAAACTTTTCCTTTCTATTTGTTTTATTCGCTCTGCATACCTATACAGAAAATAAAAGCTTTTTTTTGGGTAAATAAAAGCTTTTGGAATGAACAATGACCATGTTGCTCAAAAGAAGTAAGCATTTAAGATTGCCTTGCCCACCCCTCAAAAGAAAGGCATGTTGCCCTCCCCTTGAATTAGGGGAGATATTGATTGGGACATAGGTTATGCCATATAGCTAACTATATGTCATCTAAGTGTATTTTTTAGCAATTCACTTTGACAAAGGCTATAAGGGGCTTTGAGGGACATTATCTAAGTGTATTTTTTAGCAATTCATTTTGACAAAGGCTATAAGGGGCTTTAAGGGACATTGATTGGGATATGTGTTATTTGATATGTTTTCTAAAATGTAATTTTTAGCAACGCACTTTGTCAAAGGCTTTACGTGCCTTCCAGTTCCTTTTCTCTGCATTGATAAAATGAAAAGATCAAAAAAAAGGGAAACAAATGAGACTTCTAGGAACTCAAAATCACAAAATGGATGTGCCTAGGCAGAGTATAATTTTCTGCTTCCTTTTTTGTGAAAATATATCTTATTTCGTGGTGATTCTATCATTCTATGGTAACTTGGTGAGGCTCGAATAGTTTCTTGTGGAGAGACTCCTAGGACAAGCCTATGTGGTCATCAACATTCATTTGGCTTCTATTTCCCTCCCTACTTGTGCTTAGGCCCCTTGAATTTAAAGGAAACACCTTACTGTGTCGTAGCTCAAGACACCCAACAGCTCTCTCTCTCTCTCTCTCTCTCTCTCTCTC